CAAAAATTATAAAAATCAAACTTGCTCTAAAAGTTCACCTAGATATTGAAGATTTTTAGAGATGTTTGTGTTTTTTTAAAAAATTAAAGTTCGAAACCCTAAAATCAAAAACCTAAACTTTCCAAACCTTAAGACCAAATCCTAAAACCCTTGAAATTCAAACCAAAACCACAAAATCCAAAACTCTAAAATCTTGAAACTCCAAACTTTAAAATCTCAACCCATACCTATACTCAAAACTATTTCAAAACTATTTCAAAACTTTAAAAATATGTGCGAAAATCTCAAGTGGAATAATTTATTCTTGAATGTCGCCTAGATGATGGGATATTTAAAGAAATCTTATTCCATTAAGTTTTTCTCATTAGTCCTTAATTTGCTTTAATAATGGATTAATAAATGAAAAAAATATACTTATAAAATAGGATCTTAAATATGAACAGTCGCACCTAAGCTCTGCCTAGATGTTGGAAAGTCGATGTGGTCTCATTATATTTAGGAATCCACTTTTTAAAATTGCATTTTATCATCTGACATAATATTCATGGGCATACATGCATCATTATATTATTGTTGAAGCTCATTTCGTATTTCTTTGTCTTTAATTTTTATTTATTACCTGACAATACCATTATTTACTTTCTTTTATAAAATGTTTTACAAGACAAAAATATATATATTTTTTAAATTTGTGATGTTATAAAATAAAAAAAAATAACATTCTGAAAGAAATAATTCTTGGTATTCTGCCTAGATATCGGAGAGTCACCAACAATTATCTTTCACAATAAGTGTTATTTTTTATTTTAAGGAATATTATGTTAAATCTTAAGTGAAAAGAGTTATTTTAAATTCTGCCTAAATGTTGAAGAATTTTAAGATAATCCTTTAACTTAAAGATTTCTTCAATATTCCTAAAAAAAAAAAGAATTTTAACCAAAAAAATTTTTTTAAAGTGAAGGGAATTAATGCTAAATTTCAAATTGAAACCATTTTCATCCAACATCGAAAATAACGCATAATTAAATGGTGCCAATTTATGGGCATTGTGGGGGTGCTAATCATTCCCCACACATAACCGACTTTCGAACTCAACTTAATTTTCGTAGATCAAAATTTATTTTTTTGATAAACTTTAAACTCGTTTTTATAGTTTTATTAAAAAGATAAAATTTTGGGTGACCAATCACACCCTAAAAAAGATTGGTGGTAACTCTTCATTTTTTCGATTTTAAAATTCATTACATCTGATGGTTCCAAAACTGTTACAACAGGTGTCACAAATCCTCCCATTAAAACTTGACATCTCATTAAGACACAAAGCACACCCATAACTAAGATCACATCAGATATTAAAATTCTAAATGTGACTCTTGCTATATAAAACTTAGCTCCATCAGGATTCTAGTGATGGCTCTCACAATGTAGCATTTATTTTTTGTTCAAATGGATAATACCTCGCAGATCAAGTGCAGATATGCACAAATGATATTAAATTGGTCATCAGGTCAAACAAGAGTAAAATGCTACTTCGTAGGTGTCACCTATAAAATCAAAACATTTAGTATAATCCTAGTTTTGTAGTTTTGCATATGCTTTTGTGTTGGGCAAAACAGGGACATCAAGCTTTAACGAGGAGAATTTGTGACTCTAATTTCATTTTAGGATATTTTGAGGATTTGTTATAATATATAAGTAGAAACTTAAATTCATACTTGTGAGAAGCCTTTTGTAGGAATAAAATCGTGAGATCTTCAAGTCAAAACGAACGATATCTCACAAGTTAGGTACAAGTCACCACAGATGGCATAGAGCATTCACTAGTCAAACGGAAACTAAGTACTACATCATGAAAGTTACTTTTAGAGTCTTAAGGGAACTAAATGCTATATTATGGGAGTCACATGTAGAACCCTAATGTCAAGTGTAATTCTGTTTTTGTGTGTTTTATGTTAAGCTTAATAGAGTTGTCAAGTCTTAACATAAGAGTTTGTGACATTCCAATCTTACATTAAGATGTTCTAAAAATCTATATGATATATAAGTACAGACTTAAATCCATACTTATAAAGCACCTTTCATGAGACAAAATTGTAAAAATTTTAAATCAAAGCAAACAAAACCTCATAAGTTGAGTATGGGTTTCCATATCATAAAAGTAAGTACTAGAATCTACTATGATATAGAGACTTAAACTCATACTTATAAGGTGCCTTCTGTAAAATAAAATCATAAAATTTTTAAATCAAATGAATAATATCTCGTAAGTTAAGTATAAATATACACAAAAAAAGAGAAAATTCATTTATTTATGTTTGTAAATGTAAAAGGTTTTAGATGTACCATCTTTATCCTATTACTTAATATGTTTATGTAAATAATCGGTTGAACTTAAATTGAAAGCAGCATAATGCCTTTATGTGAATGCAAGACAGAACATAAGTAGGATTTCAAGAATTGTATGAACCACCACCTGGTTTTTCTGTATTGCTAATCCATGAGAGGTAAGGCTCAGAGGTGTATCGCACTGTTATGAAGTAACTCTAAAATCTTATTACTTTGTTTTAATACACTAATAGGGAATAACCAAGTGTCCTCTAATCAACAACTATAATCATGATTAGTGTAATTATGACGTTGTAACCAAATATTGCCATGGTTTTGGGGTACTTTTAGGTTTGTTTCGTAGGATGGATAAAAACAAATTAAAAGATGAAAAACTGAAAGAAGAAAAAAAATAAAAAGAGGAAAAATATATTTTTTACTCGTGTACTTAATAGAAAAAAAAATTAAAAGAATTTTGGAGTAATAGACAAATGAAAAAATTAAAAATAATGTTTTTTATTGATGTATTTGACTGAGAAGATGAAAATTTTTCATTTTTTTATCTATTACTCGGAAGAATTAAAAACAATAAAATAAAATAAATCTTATATGATTTTATCAAGAAAAAATAAAATATAAATATGATAAATAATCTTGTGAATATACAATACATAATCGCATCTCTCTTATTTTCTCTCTTGATCTTTTTAATTTAAAATAATTTATATTTATAAATATATGTAAAAATCAATAATTTTTCCTAATTTCTTTCCTCAATTTTTTTTCTTATCAAGTCGACATAAAATTTATTTTCTGTTCATTTTTTTCCCATTCACTTTCGCTTTCCATTTTACCGAGCAAACCTTAAAAATTGTCCAAAACAAATCAATGTCACATCAAATCACCCATAGAAAAATAACAAAGATTAAAATATAGAAACCATGTCCGTGACACTGCATTACAATGTTCTAATTTTTGCAAATCTTCAGTCTTCCAAAAGGCCCAGATCAAGCAGCTAGAAAATCAAAAGTGAAAAGCAGAAACATATCATTGAAAATGAACCCACCAGTGTTGATAGCGTGATAGAAGAATTGAGAAAAAACAAAAACTTTTGTTCATAACTACCATAAAACAAGAACCAAAAAATGTTATATCCGCGATTGTTATAAACTTGCAAGTCCAACTATAAGCCAAAAATACCAAAAGAGAGAAAATGGCAAGAGCTCATAACTTCTCCCGTAGTCTTTCAAGATCAGAATAAAGATAGGGTAAATGCCTGAAGTGGCCATCAGGAATTGCGAACAAAACCACAGGCCTTGAAGGTCTAACAAAGGGAACATCACATCTGAAGTAGCCTTTCCTCTCCTTGCTTCAAATTGCGCATGTTGGAATCTCAAAATGCTGCTATCTCCTTTTTCGTACATGGGTTTAGTACATCTAGGAAATCCTCTCCTTCCAGCTGCATCCACAATGATAAAAGTAATAGCCTAAATCCTTCATACTAAACACCATACACTTTGACTGAGTATCAAATCATCCAGGGCAAACAATAAACTGCACTATATTATACTCCCTTCCATATAAAACCACAGTGAAAAATCCTACAAGCATCCAGAACAAAAAAAAGACAGAAATATGTGTTCAATTTCTTGCACATAATTCTTATTGCGTAATTGTCAACAAATAAAAATAACCTTAAAATTGGTTTCTGCAATATTTGCAAATGATTTACAATGCAGCCATGTTCATTGCGCCTGTGACATTACAAACAAGCATACATGTATGATTGCATGCATGGATAAACATAATCCTCTATGATTTTTGGTGTAAAAGTGGAAGAGAAACCATTCTGACAGGATGTTATGCGATCAAATTACAACAGTTGTACTAATTTTAAATTTGCAGGAGCACTGGGGAACAGTATTCCAGTATTTAACTTGTGCCAAATATTAATTTTAAAAGAGAACAAAATTGCACTAACAGCCTAAACGTAAGTCAATACTATACTTTCTTCTTTGTTATTAGATAGTCAAACTCCACCAAGGAAAGGTTAACAAATTTACTTGTTTCTGCTAGCCACGTGAGCTTCAATTTTGTTTTCTTGACAGATCCTTCAAGATGCAAACTCCTACTAACTGGGTTATGTTTCCATTCCAGACCTTAATATTTCTCTCACAAAGCCATTTCCCTAATCCACTAAGGTTACTTCATCATCCACCGAGATGCACTTTCATCAGCATAGTCTAGCCATATCCTCCTTGTGTATGTAATTGCCTTCTCTCTAACACCATCAAATTTCTTAGGCCTCAGGATAATAGGAACAAATGGCTCATCAGGACCATTAGTTAAGGGCAATAACAAAAGTTGTCTTCAATGACTGCCATATGCCTAGGACAAACAGGATAAATGATCTTCTTATTAATAGTCCAATGTTTGTCCCATTGCCCCCTGGAACAAAAGGATGGAAAATTTAATACTCAATGAAATCAGAACCTATATTCTAAAGCAAACTATGACACTCCAAAGAACATTCAATCACATAATGACAAAGATGCTGTTAGGAGTAAGAACTGAGATGCTGAATAGTTAGAGAAGATGAGGCAGCTGTACAAAATACAGCCTAAGCAAGTCTATAGCAAGGAAATAACCAATCACGTGCTTTGAATTGAGTTGAAATTAACAGCCATGCAAACTTAAATGTTCCAAAATAAATTGTATCAAGGCCTCTAGTTACAGACCTCGGTGATCAATTGCTTGGACAGTTGGGAAACAGGGATCATCTCATCCATCTACTTTACCATTTTGCACAAACCAGAGCAGCTTATGCTTACCAAGAAGCATATATACCATATTCAATCAACTAAACTAATATATATGTCTTTTGCATTCCCATATCCTCTCGAATCCTATGGTATTGAGCCTTGCAATACTCACAAGATCAGAGTGCATGTCTTATACCTTTTCAGCATCAACAAAAGGACAAGCAAAATCATAAGTTGGTTATAACTGGTACTTAGATCCAATTGGATGGCAGGGAACTAGATTGCAGCGGTAATACACTGGATCCTAGGAGATTTGTTTGGGTCTTGCATGTCTAACTTTCCATGAAGACAGCACTACAAGCCCCCTTTCAAATCCAGCATTGATTTCCTTTCACAGCATTAAATTCTCCTCGACACTGTTGTTCCTAGATTTTGATTTAATGCCATCCATCCTTTCTTTTTGCATTTCCTCAATTGGCATATCTTCCAAATAGGCTTCACCTTCTTGTATTAACTTTTCAGACATATCCATCAACTTTGAGAAGAAATCTGAAGTATAGTGACCTTTTGATACTTGATGTCCAATGTCTCAACATCTTTTTAATATTTTCTACAAATTCATCACTTTCTTCAATGAGATTTGTTTCATCAAAGCGCAAGATTCCTTCACCTGGGTACCGTTGAGCAAAGTACTCATTTAATAGGGATTCTTTAGAGTGCCCTACATGAAGATAACTGCTTGTTCAGGAGCGAATCTCAATAGCACCTTTCCAATCTCAGCATCAGGAAGATCTCCTTCCACTGTAGGCAGGCTACCTACTTTTGCCTTATCAGAAATATCCATATTTACGGTCTTTTGCTCTTTTGTGAAAACAAATTGTATCATTTGGATTTTATGTTTTTTTGTTTTTAACTGCTTGATAAATGAGAAATCCATCTGGAAAACATCATCAATTCATAAATAGTTTCTGTATTGATCTACAAGCTTGCCCAGAAAAATAAACTATTTTCAAATAATTAAAACAGAATTACAATCCCCCATGCTCCTCATCTCCGATGGTTCTCTTCTCAATACTTTACTTATTATCAGATCACTGAAACAATTACATGTTACAATTTCCATGTACTACTTCAGTTCAGGGCTCTCAATATGTAATCTGAGCCTAACAGTCACCGCACATTGAAGCCCTAGCTATAAATAAGTGAACAACTTCTAGACAGTCAATAATTAGTTCAAAAAATCTTATTGAAATACCTCTATGGCAGACTTGGGAGAACAAACCTATTGGCTGTAGCAAGTTCAACGGTTATGATGAAAGTTGACATGCCTGCTTCTTAAATACTGAATATCCCCATTCATGAGTTTTTCCAATTTTTTCAGCTGGCGACCAAATTGACACCCTCCTCTGATGCATCTCCATCACTACCAAACATTTGATTCAGCAATGCTTCAGGTTAGACCTGGTAATTTTTTTAAACTAGACATGATGACGTGACACAAGAACAATACGAAAAAACACGAAACCAACAATTTAAAATTTTAACAAAAACCGTACATGGGTTTCACAAAAACCAAAAAAAGTGTTCCATGTTTGGCATGTCGACATAAATTATGACATGGCAATTTTCATGTTTTACAAATGTTTGATACGAAAAAAACACAAAATAAATTGCCAAGTCTACTTCAGATACTCTGCAACCAATAAGTGTTACCCTGACCAAAAATATATACAAAATGCCTTTTGCTTTTGGCTGAATTCATAAAACGAAGAGTTCACTTGTGCCTTAAACTAAGGAATATATATATCAGCTCTATATTCTTACTACTAAGAATCAATAAAAAAAAATGGAAACAAGATGCTTAAATTGGTGTGCAGGCACATTCTCCTCATTCTTGAGGTGTAATTAAGACAAATGCCATATATGGGTTTCACACAAACCAAAAAATGTGTTTCATGTTTTGCTCGAAATGAATTGTGACACAGCAATTTTCACATATTTGATATGAAACAGACATGAAACAAATTGCCAGGTCCACTTTAGGTACTCTGCCACCTACATGTGTTACCCTCACCCAAAATATATACAAAATGCCTTTTACTTTTGAATGAATTCATAAAAGGAAGAGTTCAATTGTGCCTTAAACTAAGGAATATATATACCAGCTCCATATTCTTACTACTGATGAATCAATCAAAAAATGGAAACAAGATGCTTAAATTGGTGTGCAGGCACATTCTTCTCATTTTTTAGGTGTAATTAGGACATATGCCAACTATCAGTATGAATACATATTTATCAAAGAAAGCAGTACCTGAGCTCCAAATGCGCAAGATGAACATACTGTCCCAGTTGATCTTTGGTCAAGCTAGCTACAACAAGAAGTTGGCCTCCATTTGGTGTAAAATTAACTGATATCAAAAAGAAATCAGCTAAGACCTGTTGAAGTCTTAACACTATCTACATACAAGGTCTCAGTCATGAACTCTTCCCGGTATCATTGACTATTTGGATACCTTTCCCAATTCATCATTTGACTAATAGAAACAACCAATACCGCCTACAGGGTGAATTCAATCAGTTCACATACCCTAAACCTGCTAGCAATGCTGAATTGGCACAACCACAAAGTTGACTCAAACTTCAGCGAGGTTATTTTGTCACATATGTGATGGCTCAAAATTTAGGTAACTGAGGTACTCAGCCATGAGTCCATAACTAGCAAGAAAAGGGCAGCTAGCACATTCTTGGCTGATTATTTGCGATTCCAGACTCTATTGACCCAATTCAATGAAAACTAGCAATTAATCTGAAACTTGAGGAAATCATGTCAACAATCACAACCGCAAAACAAGTGGCAACAACGGAAAGAATAATAGCAGCATCACGCAATAATTTCAAATTAATGATATATCGGATACTAAACTGAATGGGGATTGCAGTCTTCAGAGTAGAAATGATTGCTCTCAATCAAAGCTTTAAGCATCTCATATGTGAAGGTGGGATCATTGGGGTCGCTAGTTTTGGAATCAGCTGGTGATTCCAAAGTACGGGGCTGCGTGCAACAAAAGCCACTGCAGAAACCACCGCCTGAACCAACCCTTTTACCGGAAGAAGAGAAAGAAGGCATCTTCGCACTGGTTTTTGTTTTTTTCTTCTTCTTCTTATTAAACTTTGCAAATGGAAACAAGACCACCTGCTTTACCTTTGCCATCACGAAATCCCTTTTACACGCACGTCCATCAAAATCACTTATGCGAGTGTGGGACACAACACTGCCAGATTCTGGATTATCGTAGTCATCATCATAACCATCACCAACACTTGCACTTCCGGATATCTCCCTTTCAGCCTCAGACGTCAACATAATTCACTTTCCGGGATTGGAGAGAGAAAGAAAGAGATATCAAAGCCGGTTGGGATAAAATATCTTTAAAACGAAACCAAAAGTGGATTGAATTTTAGATGATCAGAATTCAGAGGAGAAACTCAAGTTAGGATCGCGCAAAAAAATTTCAACTTTCGAAAACAAAAGGAAACGTGGAGTTAACGTGGATTTCTTCGCCAGACACCCTCTTTGTCAATTGCCATTAATTAATTTTGGTAGAATAACAAAAGGGCAGTGAATCGAAAACATTTTGAGTATATTAAAGAAAGAATACGGCATTTTTAGTATTGAGAAAGGAAGAGCATCACCCTTCAAAAAAAAAAAAAAATAGAAAGGAAGAGCAGCAAGTACTTACGATCATGAACAAGTTAATGGATGCATACGAACACTTTTAAAAATTATTTAAAAAATTATATTTATTTTTGATAAATTAAAAAATCTCATTAATTATATTTTAAACGTCAATTAACATTTTGTAATGTTCGTTTACATTTTATTTTTTGTTTTCAGTTAAAAAAAAAAATCCGAGGAAGGACGTTAATTTTAAGATAATTTTGATTTTCTTTCTAATAATTATCAAATTTTTGTTTTTCATTTCTTTTTCAATGTAAATGTTTTTTTAGATTGAATTAGATCTAATATTTCTCGATCTATTGCCTTTTTTTTTTAGTTGGCCTTCGTTGTTTTATTTTAATATAATAATACCCCCTAATTACAGCTAAGCTATCAGGACACGTGTGCTTTTTATTGTTTTCTTGGTGATTCGTGAGGCTGAGCTGTCTTTGAACAGTTTGACCTGACAGCGATGGGCTCAAGGCCCTTTCATGTAGATCTGGGTTTTCCACCGCCCAAATCTTCTCCTTTCCCACCCGCCCACTTCATGTAAACCTGGGTTGTAAATTTTGGGTAAATTGCACTATTATCACTTAATTATGACAGTAATTTTAAATTAGTCACTAAATTTTATATAAATATATATATATATATATGTTTTTAAATCAATCGTTAGTTTTTAGCAGTGTGCTATTATGGCAATGTTATGTAAGCTATTAGATGCCACGTAACATTGTTATATTAGCAAAATTTATAAAATAACTTGACATATTAGATAATGTGATAATATCATGTGATATCTAATAATTGATGTGATGATATCATATTTGTATATTATTAAAGATTGACACCATATGACAAAACATATTTACCTAAATTTTTTAAATGATTAAATAAAAATTTTAATAATTAAATAATTATTTTAAAAATATGATTATAATTGAATAACTAATAATATCTTTTACTCTAAAATTTTACTGAACAAAGTAACTTTATGGTTTTTTTTTTTATATAAATTCACTCTCTAGTTGCATGTTCAAAATTTTAAATTTTACTTTGCATTATTAGTCCATGCACTTATAAATGTTAGGGATTTAGTCTCTTTTTAATAATTTGTATAAAATAAGTTCCTATATTATCAATTTTTCTTTACTCGGTCCTCTAGTTAAAACTATCATTGACATGTGTATTTATTTCGTTGACGTGATATATATTAAGTTGATGTGATATTTTTTGGATAATTTTAAAATTAAAAAATGCGGCATGAAATTTTTTGGTCATATGGCCATTTTATTTTATGTAGAAAACTGAATGAAAAATTTTAAAAATAAACAAAACAACAATTTAAACTCTAGCCTAGTCAAATAAAAGTTTATTTTAAAGTGTGTATAGATAATGTATTTGAGTGAGAAATTTCATTTGTTCAAAAATTAAATTTACTAATTTAGATAAAAAAAAAAGTTTCAAAATTTAAGAAGAATTTCAAATTTTAATTTCAGGAGCTCAAATTCTTTCTTGAATTCTACCAAAAGAGGTAATTTTTTTTTTTAATTTCTTCAAATTTCCTCTCACTTTAGTTCATATGACTCACCATAAAATATAAAATTTAAAAAACAAAACTACCATTTTATTTAGCTCTATTATATTTTTATTTTTAATATTATTAACAATATTTGTACTTTTTTACAAAACTAATAATGCTCATATTGTTTATTTTATATATACATATATTTTTAATATTTAATATCATTATGCTTCGTTTATAATTATTTTTTATTAAATTTCAATAGATTAAATTCTTTTCTAAAAAATATTTATCCAAACAAAACTAATATAAATACTATTATTTTAAAATGCTGACTTAAAATGTTTTCATTCAAATTTTTTCAAAATTTTAAAATACTTCCTCCAAACTTATTTTTAAAATATTATTCAAAAAATTAACCTAGAGTTGGAAAAAACTTTGTCTTATTGTCATCACATACACCCTAAATCAAATCTTAATTTCAAAGGTTTGCTTCATACAATTTTATCAAAATCCAAGTAATATTCACGCATATACTCAAAGATGAGACAAGCATATACCCAAAGCAGAATCAAAATCAAACATTTTTAAAATTATGAAAATTATTAAGATAAATACCAAATTGATTTAAACGCACAATCAATGGCGACATTATTTTAGTGATTACTAGTGAGACTTGATAATTTGGAGAATAAATATTTGATAGTATGAATTTCATGAAGGTGAGTGCTTGTGTCACGAGCTTAGGTCTTAACTTAAGCATCGATCATGTGGGAATATTTAGTGCTTGCACCTCTCTTTGGTGCTTTTTGGTCCCCTTTAAAAATTGTGCATGCATGGATCTTGGCATGATGCTCTTATCTAGGCAGGCTTGATGCTTGTTGCCTGTCTAGCACCTAAACCCCCTGGACCCCTATTTATACTTGAAGCCTTAATACATCTACAATTATCCAAGTCAAGGAATTACAATTAAAACCCAAGATTATATCATTTCTCCTTGATTTAAAGGGTAACCCTCTTACCACCAAATTCTATAATTTAAAGGATTAGATTCAACTCCTAGGAAATTGCTTGAGCATGGGTCATGTGGGAATATTTTGTACTCGTAACTCTCCTTGGTGTATTCTGGGACCTTGTAGAAGATGTATCTATATGGATTGTGGCCTGACGCTTTTGTGCAGGTGAGCCTAATGCTTGTTGCCTGTTTAGTGGCTAAACCCCCTGGCCTACTCTTGGTGAGCAAGCCTTAGCCCCTAGTGTGCTCGTGCGAACTGTGACATTCTCTCCTAGTTGACTTCACATTGCCCTTGTCGCATCGCCTACATGGAACTGCTTGATTTGATCCTTGAATTGCCATAAATTTTAGGCTGTTTCCCAATTAACCTCACTATCCGGAAGTCCCATCCATTGCCCTAAATACTCCTATCTTGGTTTATAAGTTGCCGCCTCACAACCCGATTAGCAAATATACTCTAGGCCATCAAATAAGGCCTTTTATTTTCAATGGTGCACAGTGTGATTCTCTTGATTTTCATGGAATGGCTTAAACATGCTAACATGGAAAACTGAGTCCACCTTCAATTTTGGTGGCATTTCTAGTTTGTACACAACTTTGTATACCTTTTTAAAAACTTTGAAAGGTCGTGTGTATCTCCAAACTAAGGCCTTATGCTAACCCTTATTACCCATATTGAGTACAATTTCTATTAGAAGATATAAATAAGATAAGAGAAATAATAGAAAAAAGTTTTGATTTTAAAGTGTGAAGAACACTTTTTTAAAGGCAATTATCTCTTTAAGATACAACAAAGTCTCAAACTCTCCAATCAAAAATAATAAAAATAGTTATACTAAAAGATTTATTTATAATGAATAAACAAACATAAACGTTTATTTAGATGGTTATTACTTTTTGTATAATCGTGACATTTATGAATAATAATCTATTTATATTCAAATAGTTATGATCACTTATCATATGATAATTGTTTCTGTCCAAACATAATTATTTAAAATATGACTAAAATTAATACAAAAATTAATTTTATTCATCAATAATTAAATCTTTTTGTTCAATATGGGATGCATCACATTCTAAACTACTAATAATCCTCCACTAATTTGGAATATTGGTGCTTAATTTTTACCTTTCACATAAATAAATATTATGAATACAAAAATGAATCTCTTGATTTAAACCTTTAATTAACATATGTATATTAGAATTCTAATGAAATTGATGGTGTTCGCAAATTAAACCTAAACTCCTAGTGTTAAAATTAAAGATATAACACACATAATACTTATTTATTCTTCTGTTAGAGTTTTATAACAGTTTTTAACACTGTTATGGCCATGTGGTTATCCTATTCATAAATATTTGCAAGAGAGACCCTAATTATTCTTGTTAAAGTAGTATCACTTTTATATTTATATAAGTATAGTTTTCATTATGTCTCCATTGCTTTAGACATTTAAAACTCTATTAAGAGTATAAAAAATCATCCTCCCTATGCAATGGATCACTCTAGTTTTTAAAATTTGAATAAATTTTACTAGTGTTTAACAGACACATAATAATAACTTATTTTTACCCATTAAACTTTGTAATTAGAAGTTATTAATTCAAAGTTAGGTTTCCATTATTGGTGTCTAATAGTAGGAGTTTAAATTCATTCTACTTGTAGTACTACTAACCAAATATCTTAGAATTTAATTTTCTTTTATGGTAATTACCCTCACTTAAAATTAAATCTTTAATATAATCACTTCAGGCTAATATATCTAAACTTTTCATTTTACATATTATTTATATGCTCTAGACATTTTGCCTCATTCTTATCATTTTAACAAATAATTAGTTTTGATTGTGGCCACAACTCTATATTCTTAATTTCAACCATTCTTTTTTCATTCCTTTATACTTTTTTAATACAATCATACTTCTAATACAATTGGATAAACTCATTGAATAAACCAAACCATTTTAGTTCTTTTAAAATTTTTAAGGATTTTTTTATAGTTTTACTTTAATAAGTGTCTAAACTTATTTGCTTGTATAATTTACTCATAAAATTATACTAAAACTTACAACATTATGGTGGTAATTTTTATTTTTTTTATTCTTATCACCCCACCATGTGAAAGTATGCATTCTTTTATTAAAGAATATCTTATTTAATTGTTCAATATGCATTCTTTTATTAAAGAATATCTTATTTAATTGTTCAATATATCATATATATTTAATCAAGTTGCCATTTCACTTATCTTTTCACTATTTGGAGGTCTTTTTTTTTTAAAGTATGAGGCCTCCAAATCTACTCTTAGTGAAAGGTAACTAGCAAAAAACTTAATATTTATATAAAAGTTCTCAAACTTTTATATTTTAACTCAATATAAGAGTTTACATCAATAAACAGATTTCAAAGATAATTATGCTTCTATAGTCTCATTTTAAGATTTTAACGTCAATTCATAAATACTTATATGAATCTATTTCATTATGGACACTAGTAATAATTTTTTTATTACCATAAA